TTATAATTAACTAAATTTACTTAAATTACTTAATTCTTAGATAAAATTAAAATAAAGCAAAAATCTTATTGAGAAAACGAAAAAAAAAATTTTACGGTTAACATTTTTATGTGGCCACTGGCAACTCTGACTTCCGCCACCTGACGGTATATTTTGCATACAAAAGGTTGGCAACATAGATATCTAAGCAAAGACACAAACCACGAAGGCTGGCATAAAGTGGTATAAAATAAAATGTGTTGAARAGAAAATAAAAAAAAAATAAGATGGAATAAACATGGAATGGTAAAGTACAGAACAGAGAAAAAATACCATACATACACAAGTAATTTAAAAAATATTTAATTTAAATTTTTTTCATAATAAAGCAAACAAAAAATTAAATTTCGATGGAAAATAAATTGCTGACGAAAAAATTTTTATTATAGTAGTAGTCATTATAAAGATACTTTTTTTGTTTTAATACAGAACAAATTTATTTTAAATTTAATTTTTAATAATTAAAATAGTAAAATTCATGTATTTTTAATTAAAGGAAAAATACCATACATACATATAAAGTTTTAAAAATAATTATAGATTTAAATTGGTTCAATAATAAAACACTAAATGCAAATTAATAAATTATAAACAAAAATAAAAAAGTTACAAAAATATTCTAAAACAAAAAATTAAAAAAAAGAAGTATTTAAAAAAATAATAATTTTTTATTTGAAAGAAAAAAATTAAAAAATCGAACAAAAAAATAAAAGAAACAAAAGGTATATTAAAAAAAAAGAGATTTCTTTAGGAGAAATCTACATTTAGGCTGATGTTTAATACAATAAAAAACGACAAAATTAAGGGAACCAAAAAATCCATAATTACATATGTACATACTTATATATGTACATATAAATTTTAAAATTATAATATGGAGAATTTACCGGTACACTCGTTTTAAGTTGAAACTAAAGTCGGCACCACATTAGGTTAGGAAGCTAACAAACTCTTACTTTTTCCCCCACTATTGAATTTTATTAAGCTACTCGAGTTATGCTAATTCTTTGTTCGATTCACCACAATTTGATGGAGACTAGTATGATCTATGATTATTTAGCAAACTTTTAAATACACGTTCCCTAAAGATTGGTGGTTATATAACCTTAAATATCTAGTTTTTTTTTCTTGAATAATTGGTCGTAAACGATTTGTGCCCGTCTTTTTCATTAAAATATTAAATATTTTCTTCACTTACCTAATTCACTGTAGAGCGTCGTATTCAGCGCTATGTCCATGGGACATGTGTCGGAATCTTCCGGTTCCTCAGGTAACGTTGGCGGACCATCCCACAAAGATTTTGCGGGCCGCCGCACACGATCTAGACGAACGCGTGGATATTCATTGAAGAGGACGTCTGTTAGCTGCATTTTGGGAAAGAGAAGGGCGTTAATATTAGAAATCATCACGTCCTTAATCTCTCAAAAAGTAAAATACCAAAACAAAACATATAAGAAATTTTTAAAATAAATAATAATCATAAGTTTGAATTCAATCTGCAAGCAATTTTACTTTATTCTCAAGTCTTAGACAGACCAAAGGGATTTGGTGGAACTGGAATGAAGAACCTATCTTGTAAGTAAAAGTGGGCTTTGATTATTTCAGGGTCGTGTACTCAAGCGGTTGTATTTTGTCAATGCAAAAAGAAGTTCGGAAACCAAAATTTAAACTTCTAAACCAAACGTACCTCGCCATCAAACCATGAATGAAACGCCCAAGTAAAGAAAAAAGTTTATTATTTGCAAGAAGTAAGAGCCCAGGGAACCATAATCGAAATAATAATTTTGTTCGAGTAAAATAATGCAAATACTATATAAGAAGATAATATAGACACTTCTGGGACCTATGTATGAACCTCATGCTCTCAAAATACTCTCTGTAACATAAGTTGCGATTCGGCGCCGTTCCCAGCAACTCGAATACTACATCAGGGAACGACTTGAAAAGTTCCGAGACGATCCGAAATTTTCAAGCCAAATTTTGTGAGCCAGCGATGAGCTCATTTCTGGTTCAATGGGTATGTAAACAAGCAAAATTGTCGCATTTGGGACAAAGAGCAACCTGTAGAGTTTCAAGAGCTGCCATTTCATCCAAAAAACAACAATGGAACAATGGTGGAATCATCAGCCCACAATCAAAAGTTATGCCGATGAGAACGTAGCAGTCAACAAGATGTCAACATTTCCCACGCATCGCATCAATCAATGGATTTATTGAGAGAACTCTTCGGTGAGCAGATAATTTCACGTTTTGGGTCCGTCGATTGGACGCCAAGATCGTGTTTATATCACACCGTTAGACTCTTTCCTGTGAGAATATGTAAAGTCTAAAGTCTAGGCGACCAATCTCGCTTCGATTCAGGCCTTGGAGCAAAACATCACGCGTGTCATTCGCCAGTTGGCAATCAAAATGCTCGAACAAGTCATCAAAAATTGGATTTAATGGATGGATCATCTAAGGCATTGCAGAGATAATCATGAAAAACTGAATGCCAAAGAGTGTTCTTTCGAATTTTAATAAACATTCCCCATTAAATGTGAAGTTTTTGTGTGTTTTCTTTAAAAAAGTAGGGATACTCGAAATGGATCACACTTTACATTAAGCCAAAGATTTTTAGAGTCCAAAAGAGCTTCATCTTGTAGATGCTGCAGCCAAGGTTTGGTAAATTTTCAGAATTTTTTGGCGAATAAAAAAAACATTAAACCAAAAAGTAATTACATTTGTAAAATATTTAATAGCAAAAAAAATTAATTAATTAAAAAAAAATTTAAATTAAAAATTAAACAAAAAAAATTTATTAATTTTAATTTTAATTAAATTTTTTTAATTTTAATTAAATTTAATTAAATTTTTTTTAGTAATGAAATTATATTAATTTTAATAATTAAAGACATACAAAAAAAAAATAAAAATTGAGCAAATCAAGGCATCGGTTTACGATAAATTACTACTCAACACATGTAAACTGTACCCACCTCCTTTTTAGGTGTAGCCGGGAAGATCTACGAGTTAGCATTATTTATGTAGTTTTTAGTTTTTTTCCCCCAATTTTAGTGATGATTTTGTGTATTTTTAGCAAGTGTGTTTTTGTTTTGTGATTTAAGTGTTTACAGCCATTAATATTGAATTTTAAATGTAGTGCGTGGTGTGTTTTTTTAGTAAAGTGTAACAGAAGTGTGTGGAAAGCATACAATGAGAGCGTAGCGAAGGGAGAGAGTAAGAAAAATAGCGATATGTTAATATTAGTAATATGCTATTAACATATTTTTAGTAAGTTGATTTTTTTAAAATCGTAAATGTTCATTAAAAAATTATAAAATCATTATTAATATCTTTTTAACATACATTTTTTATATTTACATATGTACATACGTAAGTATATGTTGCCAGATTTGTGTCTGTATAAACATATATATTTTTTCGAATTTGTAATATACATACATGTTCGTTAGTTTTAACATAATAATAATAATTACTTTAGTTTTTCTACTAACCGATATCTCCTCACTGCAGTAAGCTGTGAAGGATTGCTCGTCCTGTTGCAGTACGCAGTAGAGTGGACTCCATGGCAGCGTTTTGTGTTTGCGTGTGAGTTCGCCTTCGGATTCTGCAAGAGAGAGAGAGAGGAGAGAATATATTGTCAATGTGTTGTAACAATTATATCATTAAAAATGTTTTATCGAAAAAAAGTAATTAATTAATTAAATTAAGCTTAATTAAAATAGATAGGTCAAACTAGATAATTAATATGCAATAAATGTAATTAAATTAAATAAAGCAAAAATAAAATTAATTAAAATGCAAACTAATGATTAAATTAAGTAAATCATAATTAACTAAATTTATTTAATTAAAAAATATAGTGCTATATATTTTATAATTAACTAAATTTACTTAAATTACTTAATTCTTAGATAAAATTAAAATAAAG